AGTTTTTCAGACTCTCACCATTAAAGTAAATAACAAAGTATATACTCTAAAACTAGTTTTGTTAATAGAAATTGAATTATACAAATTAAGCATGCAAAAAATTAGCAGCCCCTGACTGTGTAGAATATTATTGTACAATATGCTGATCCTATGAGGGGTAGAACCCCATCTTTTAAGAAACTGGTATTTAGTGAGGCAGTGGTGCCACTTGCCTTTAATTCCAGCACTTGAGAGAAGCAAGTGGATCTCTATAAGTTCAAGGCCAGCCTGGCCTATACAGTGAGTTCCAAGACAGTCCGGGCTACACAGAGAACCCGTCTTGAACGAATTAGAAGGAGGAGGAGGAGGAGGCGGAGGAGGAGGAGGAGGAGGAGAAGCGGCTAGAATTTAATGAAACAGACTTTGATCCATACACCACAATACACACTGTATGTGACAGTGATCAACAGAGGAACAGAGAACACAGATCTCCCGTTCATCAGATGAACAGGGTAGCAAGAGCTACCAGAAAACTTAATTACTTCAGCTTATGAAGCAGAACCAGATCATCTTGGTGACCTCCTATGTATATTCATCTGATGCACAATGTCCCTTTCAAGGTTAGGAGTCTGGAAAGCATGTTTTCCAGATATGCTTTAGTGTTTGTCCCTAGAGTTTTTGGGACAGAGAACCATTCAGGTGCCTAAGCTGCTTCACAACCTAACCAAAACACTCAGGTCCTGGTATATATGATGTGATTTTTGAGGATGGTGTGCTATAATGCTTCATGCTTGGAACAGTGCAGGCAAACCGTGTGCAGGCTGTAGCTATTACAGAGCTCTGGAGCATGGCTGGTCAAGGGCAGTCACACAAGGGTGTACCATTCGGGAATCCTCTACCGGTGCTGTACCTGCTCTCATCGGGAGTCTTAATGCACAAGGACAAAACTGTATGAACAAAACAGAGCAATACAGCCGGAAGCTGCACTAGAACAATACTGGTTCCCATGTGAACACACACACATACACACGCAATACATGCACACAAATATACACACGTATGCACACACCAAAGAACCATGTATCCTTCAAACGACGACAACTTTTGCCTTGTGCTTCACATTAGTACTTGGCTTTGAAAGCGTTTCAGCACACTATAAGCCACAGCAGTTCGGGCTCTTTTCTTTGCAGTCTTTCTGATATTTCTAACTAAACTCCTATATTTTCAGTATGTTCTAGTTATCTAATATTAATAATAGTGCTGAATATAACGAGCCATCCAAAATGCCGTTTCTAAACATTCGACACCATCTTTTTGTTCACGGCGGTAAGGGTGTCTCGTTATCTCCTCCAAAACATCTCTCCAGGCACCCAACACGAGGGAAAGGGGAGCGAGCTGTGCCCTGTGCCCACGGCGGCTGATCTCATAGACAGTGCTGAAACGCACTGCATACCCACCTTCATCAATCACTCACCAATCTTACTTTGCATCTTGGCTACAAAAGAAAATGGGATTTGTTTCCCTGAAGAAATATGTCACTGCTCTGCCTGAATTATTAAGCTTTACTGTTACAGAGAGAAACAAGAGTCAAGGAAAAAGAAAGGAAGGGAAAATAAAAATAGAGCCAGGTCGCCATCTACAGTCAAAAGGCAGCATTGCTGGGTCAAGGAGCATTTACTTCACAGCTGAATATCAGTAAATACAATTTTTTAAAGCAAAACAGGTGACTAAAATCGTAATTATTTCTAAATATTATAATACTAATAGTATACATCTAAAGAAAACTGGAATATTTGTTTATATTTTAACATATACTAGAAAATGATCTTAATTATTCACTAACACTAAAATTAAAGACTGAAATATAACTGCACAGCTCTCCTCGCTTCATTGATGGTTTTGGCAGGAAAGACGAGGGTTCCATCTCCAAAAGCACTGCTGTGCATTTGTGCCCATTACCTGAGCCCCCGCCTCCGACACACTCCTTTCATTCATGATCTCTATTCCCTTTGCTTGAGCCCTCTAGAGACCAGAGCATCAAGACGCACACACGTGGTTCCAATTACTAAAATAGATGGCATTAAAGTAAAAACCTGCTTTGATTATAAATGAATACAAAGGCAGGGTTAGGGGAGAGAGACGTGTGATATTATAGTCAAGGACATCTTGGAGGAGGCCTTTCAGGAGAAGTTGCTTGGGTTTCAATCATGCAGATATGGATTGATTACTTAAATTTACTAAGTGGCAGGCTTCCACTATAGAATTGCACCTTTTCTTTCATTTTTCATGGAAAATATTTTTGAAAGTCAATGTTTATTTGGGGGGGTCAGATGCTTCTCCTATCACAAAAATACATGTAAATTCTTCATCCCAGCTCTTCTACATCTTCTAAATCAGCAGCATAGTCCTTGTGTGCTTGGGAAAAATCAGTCCTAAGACCTTCCGTTGACAGAGTTCCCGTTTACAGGGAATAATGAGCTAGGGCTGTTTAAGAACCTGTGACCTTCAAAGTACAAAGCTAGATGGAAATAGCCACTTAGGATCGGAGGTTACCTGAAGCAACTGCACATCTGTCAAGGCCAGGCACTGGCCACTGGAGGGGTCCACCTTTTCTGCTTACATCTTAAAAACTACTTGTTTCAGTGTTAAACACTATTATTATTATTATTATTATTATTATTTAAGAAGCTTTGTGAATTTCCACAGAAGCCAAGATGCTGATTATTCAACTCACCAACACAGTCTGCTACCCAATGAAAGGAATGCTAATCCGTTCCTGTGTTCTCCAGCTTGCGCAGGGACCATTAGCAAGCCCAAAGACTTAAAATACACATACTGTAAGTAGACATGGGACTTCTGTGCACTGATAAGAACCTTAAAGACAAAAAGCAAATAGCAAATCTCCTCCCTTAACTAAATAATTTATTAAAAGCTTTAAATGGGTCCAGCTTCTTAGTGGGGTTTAAAGTATTACAGAGACTCAGCCATCTTTAATTTCCACCATTATTTGATCAACATGTATTAAATGCCTTGGTTCTCTTAGACCAAGAACAGTGGTGAGAATTTTTAAAAAGAAGCTAGATATAGTAACTCGTGCCAGTACTCAGAGGGTTAAGAACTGCCATGAGTTTGAGACCAGCCTGGGCTAACATAGTGAGTTCCCAGTCAACCTGAGGTAGAGTGAAGCCTTGTCTCAACAAAACAAGAGTGGCAGCCACAGCCCATACATAGTTTTAGATTTCAAATGCAATACATGTTTACCAAATAAGGCCTCTTTAGTTGTAGCTTTCAAAAATGGCCTGTTTTTTCACAGCTAACTTTTCTTTTCCTGTCCTTCCTGCTATACAATAGGTAGCAAACAACACCTGCCAGCTATACTTCATCCTGACCTCCTCAGTGCATGTCTCTTGACAGGATATAACAGGCTATGGGTGTGCAAAGTAGTAGAGAAAAATCACAACTTGAGCTCACAATTCAGAGGAAGACAGTGGGGGCAGTGGGACTGAAAAGAGGGAGTGGACCTCCTAAGGTCAACAGCACCAGAAGGATGAGAACCCAGCAAGGGTAACAGCACGCTAATACCCACCAGCGAGATCCTGGGAGATAGGAGCCCGACTTCTCCTTCTCTGGGGAACCAGGCATGCATTTAGCCCGTTTCTCCCTGCTGTAGCCCTGGGACATGCACCTAGGGTCTCATGCACATCAGATAAGTGCTCTACTGCTGAGCTAAGTCCTCAGCCCTTCTTGTGCTTCAGGAAGCATGGGCTCACTAAACTCTCCAGCCCAGCCTTGACTTTGAGATCCTACAGCCTCAGCTACCAGGCCATCTGGTCATTTAGCCCGTCCTTTCAACCTTCAACCACTTGTCTTTCTCTGATTTTTTTTTTTTTTTGGCCCTCTGTGTGGCATCCTGTAAACCCTCCCAGGAGCCCTGCAGCTGTAAGTACCACCTGACTCCTCATGTCGGATGGATTTCCCATGTGGGTCGGGTTCTATTGATGACTAAAACATTCTATCATCTGTCTTCACCCCAAGCATCTTACACTAGTCTTATGAGGATGGGCCTTGAGTAGAGGAGGCGATGCACTTTGTTTCCAGCCAGCTGCTGTCGAACCTGAGTATCTCTCTCCATTTTATGAGCCCATCCATTTGAGAATACACTTGAAAGACAGCAGATATAGCCCAACTCTACAGAAACCTTGTGTGAAAGTTCACTGTTTCATTGCACCTGCCCTGACCTCGGGACACCTCTATCTCACAGTAATGGATTTTCAGACCAGTGCAAATTGTTTTGCTTTGGTTTTTGCTTGCTTTTTGAGAACCAGAGAGCCTCAAACTCATTATATGGTAGAGACGGGCCTTAACCTCCTAATAGATCCTCCTGTCATTACAGGAATGCATTACCATGGCTGGCGCAAATTAGAAATTTTTACATTTATCTTATAGCTACTTTTGGTAAAGTTTATGTGTGACCAGTATTCACTTGGATATCGAGCATCTTTTCAAGAAAGATGAGTTATGAATACAAGCAAATCATGAGTGGAGACCGTCAACCCACAGAGGCAGTCACCAGCACTGAGAGTATGACAAGCAAGCACTCTCGGCGGGTGCACAAGACAGCAATGTTCCCTTTTGTCCTAATAAGACTGCCTTAAACAACAATCTGATCTCAAAGCCCAATAGAAGCCGAATGTGAGAAATAACTGCTTCTTATCCAATGAAAGTCTTCTTTGAACAAACTCACATACGGAAAGACAAAAAGGAATATCCCCTGTGAGCCTGGAGAAACAAACATTGTTGAGTTAAGAATGAAAACTCAGGAGTTGAAGAGATGGCTCAGTGGTTAGGAGCACTTCCTACATTTACACTCCATTCCGAGCATCTACAGGCACCTACACACACACACACACACACACACAAATTAATAAATTAAAAATAAAAAATTTTAGAATTCAAAAGAATTAAAATTGATTCACAGTTTTAAAAAATAATAATATGAGCAAAACAAGAAACAAACTAACCATTGTTTAGGACTGCTTGCTGGGAATCCTTTGACTTCACTTTTTGTTTCACTTTTGTGGGTTTTTCTGAATTTGAATCTTTCTTCCCTTTCCTCTTCAGAGACTGAGGAGATGAGTTATCACTGGAGCCGATAGTTGACTTAGATTGGCAATAATTTCCCTAAATGACAAAAGATTAGATCATTACTATTAGCTAGTGAACTCTCAATGTATTTCCAGAACATGCATATGGTTAACTAGTGATCCCAGGGAGAGTCCTACATTAATTTCCAACTGCTGACCATGGTGCCACACTAGCTGAAAACACTTCTTCCCAGAGGCAGGAGGAAGGTTTGGCAGAGGAGGGAATCTTAAAATAATCACTCATATTGACAGGTGCCATAAAACCATTTTCCTTGGGGTTGGGGATGGAGCTCAAAGGCACAGGGCTTGCCTAGCACTTGGTGAGGCCAAGATGGTACCATGGTACACACAGAAAAACAAAAACAAAAGCCATTCCTTCGTTGGGGAGATAGATAGCTCAGTTGGTAAAGTGCTTGACCACAAAAGCAGGAGAACCAGAGTTCAAAACCCAAGGCCAACAGGGAAAAGTCAGGCATGGAGATGGTACTAGCAATCCACCTTGGGGAGGGATCACTAGAGTTCTGTGGCTATCTAGGAAGCCTATTGAAATTGGTGAGGTTTCCAAGGACTGTCAAAAAAACCCAAACAGGTGGAAGGTACCCCAAGAAACAACATCAGTGTTTGGCCTCCAACCACATGCATGTGCACACAATTCCCTCGTCAGCTGAACGGGGCTGATGCACCTGCCTTTATCCTGTCCCAAGAATGGAGGGGATCATGTGTGAAGTGACCAGACTAGTGCCTGATGACAAGGGTCTGGTCTTTCCTCCAAGATCAGAGATAATATAGCTATAGATGATATAGATATATAAAGTCATATCAGAGATAGGGGTGTGGCTTAGTGATGGAGTATTTGCCTAGCATGTGCAAGGTCCTGCATTCAATCTCCAGAACTGCAAGAATAAAGTAAGTAAATAAGTAACTCGACCATATTGGGTGAAATCTTTATGCAACATCTGTACTATCTGAAAATAAATGTAGTAATATTAAATAAACAAATCTGCCTGGAAGCCTATTATAACTGCTCATTTTAAACATTTATATATTCAGTCACCCAAAAGCATTTAAATGGTTTTAGCCATCACCCAATTAAGAATAGAAAAAACCCACAATCTTACAAATGAAGTTATTTATGCTATTTTGTCACAGCCTACAAGAAAATGAATTATGCATAGATTTATTAACAGTATGAAAACTTGTCCAAATCTATAACATTTTTGCATAATTTAATTTTCCATTCCAACTGCAATTTAAACATCCAGTTTCCATTTAATTATTGCATGATCTACAAGCAGAGATTTATTTTTTTTCTTTTCCTTTTTTCAGTAACTGCCTGGTAAAGAAAGACAGCATGGCAGACGTGGCGCTTCTGAAGCTGTTAGCCAAGACCCAGACTCAGACTACAGTCTGCTGTTAGTACAGCCTGCTCATCCTGAGATTTCAACACAGGGAAACTGTGACAGCAATAACCCTTCAAAGATAGTCAGTGCCTTTCAAGAAGTTTTGGGGAGGCTGATAAACAGAAAACCCAGTGAGGAAGGGAGGGACTTGTGATCCCAACAAGGGTGATGTTACTACTCTCTGGGAAAGCCTCACTCACCAGCAGTAGGGTGCGACTAGAAAGAACAGAGACCTCATTTCAGAGAGGGACACTCAGAGGGGTTCAGAATATAGGCTGATGCCCTTTCTTAAACAAAAACAGAGGGGGAGTGGTGGATTGGGGGTGGTGGGAACAAAGAGGGTGGGGAGAAGGGACTGGGAGTAGAGGAGGGAGGGGAAAGGGGGAGGAAGAAGAGAGGAAGGAAGACAAGGCAGGCTGAAGCTTGGGAGAGGGCTCAATAGGTAAATGTGTTAATGTCACCCCTCCAGAAAGGAAAAGACTTCCTCTTGGGATAGCTTAGACCAGGAACAAGTAGGAATTCTCTGCCTCTCCTCCTGTGTCTTCCATTTCTCTGTGGTTTGTGATCTGTGGCCTAGCTGTTGTCTGTCTGTTGTATGTGTCTGTCCCTGTTGCCTGTCCCTAAGAGCTTTGTTCCGTATTTATGGAGCAGCATAGAAAATGTGGTATGGAAAAGGAATGCAGAATACTTTTTCATAGAAATCTTTAGCAGAGTTTTACAGGGAAGAAATTACTGGCCCAGAATATTACTCAGAACTACAAACAGATATTATCAACCTATATCCACAAGGTTGTTAAAGGTTGCTTTATTAAGCATTGCTTCCAACCTGTTGGCTTCTTTCAGCAAATGATAACTATACACACATGAGTACACACATGCACTCACACAAGTGTGCATGTGTAGGTACACAGGTTCCCCATTTTTCCCGAGGCGCTTTGCAGGGCTGTTCTGCTTCCTGGTTCCACTGCATCAGCTTGAGGGTGTAGGATAAAACTGCCCTCTCCTGTTATGTTAATTTCGCCTACGGCCCAAGGGTGTAGCTTAGAGAGAACTCTTCTGTTATGGTAATTCCACCTGCAAGCAAGGTTCTCGCCCGCAGGCAAGGTTCCCGGGTCAGCTTTTCCCTGAGCCTGAGCACGCCCACCTGGCTTCCTCTTTTCTCTGTTCAGCTGTTCTCTGACCTTGGGTGCGGCCCCCTGACTTTTCTCTTTCCTTGTTCCTGATGGGGGGCTGGTGTCCTTTTGCCCCACAGTATATATACCCGACTTATGCTTAATAAAGCTGCCATTTGCCACTTGCTCCTTGGCAGATGAGCCTGGTCTCTTTGTGTGTGTGTCATGTGTTTTAACCCCTAGGACAATCATCCGTTCTCGTGGGCTCGAGTCAGGGAAAGCGCGCGCCTGTTTCGAGGTTCGGGTGTCCACAGAAAAGTGCGGAAGCTTACAGATGGCGTCCCTGGGTGGGCTTTGAATAAGGACTGAAGAACCGCGTTCTGCTGTCTGTGGATCCACCACGAGAACCCCAAAGAGGTAGGGGTCCCCCCACGATCCGGAATCTGGCCAGTTTTGTAGTGTGCAATTGTGCACGTGTGATAAGGGGGTGAATAGTTTGATTTTTAGAAGTATGGGTGCCGAAAGGTCTGATCCAGAGCTGAAGGCCAGTGAGCAAATCAGCTGCTAAAATTCGTAATGAGACTAGGTACCAGGATTAAGATGACACTGCACAAGAGACGGTTTAGAATATTTTAAAACTCAGTCCCTGGCTCTCACATGCAGGGAACTTTAATTTTTGCCAAAGAGAACAGGCTGGGCGCAGCTAGCTCCCGGCTGAAATCCATTCCCAAGGTTACAGGATCCAGCAGAAGCAAGCACGCTAGCAATAGCCGATGGCCATGTAACTGCGGGCCTCGGGCTAAGAAAATATTCAAAGGTGTGTCTAACAATTCTATTAAAAGTTTCTGAGTAACTAAAGGCAAAAGAGCCAAAAAGAGAGAGAGAGTTTTGACAAAATAAGAGAGCGCAGCAGCCTTGAGCCCCAAGCCGTAGATGGAGCTGGGTATTACCCGCAGCTAATGAGCTGCATGCTAGGCGGAATGCGATCCGCCTGCGCGGAGGCCGACAGACTGTACAGGGTCCGTACACGGGACTCCGGCAGGCTGCGCGACCGCGGCTGGCAACTCTAGGAGTCCCAGGAAACTGGCGGCCAAGGCGCGGAACGCCGCGATGCCAAAAGGTGCCTGCCACAAATGGATGGGCTAAGGGCAGGTTTACATCGGAGGCTGTATGTAACGTTATGTGAGGCTCGGAGCGAAGCCAACAGAGCAAAGGCTGCGCATGCCCTTAACTAAGGCCGGGCCAGACACAAATGCCTTTAAGCTGACAGAGGCCACGAGCCTACAGTTTTCTGGCAGGCAGTTGCTACCTTTGGGCTAGCTCAGAAAGCATGCCATTGCTGAAAAACTGCTTCAGCAGGTTGCCCGTATCCTAGCCGTCAAAGCCACGGGTCTCCATATTGCTTAGTAAATTAAAGGCTTATGTAGTCAGAAAAAGAGGGATATACAATAAAGAGAGAGTCTAAGAGGAAGAAAACCTCTAACTGGTTTACAATATGTTAAAAATATATGCAGGCTAAAAGTTAAAGTTCTTAAAGAAAGAGAGTAGTTGGGTGTGGTGGTACACACCTTTAATTCCAACACTTCAGCGGCAGAGGCAAATTGAACTCTGAGACTTTGAGGGGCAGAGGTAGTTGACCTCTGTGACTTCAGGGTATGGCAGTACACACATTTAATCCCAATGCCTGGGAGGCAGAGACAGATCTCTGTGAGTTCTGGGTGTTGTAGCACACGCCTTTAATCCCAGCATTGGGGAAGCAGAGACTGTGGGACTCTATGAGTTCACGGACAGCCTGGTCTACAGAGTTATTCCAGGACAAAGATGTTTGAGGAGCTTATCTACAAAGAATCATAACTTCCCTCTGCTCCTGGAGTTGGATGAGGAAGTTTGAGTGCAGGCGATTATTCCTTGATCCCTGCTGGGGTCAGGTGACAGTCCCTACTGGGGCAGATGAAGGTTGTATACACATGATCTGTCCTTGACCCCTACTGTGGTCAGGTGAGAGTCCCTCCTTGGCTCCCCATTTGGTGCCATGGTAAAAAGCTAGCCCCAGCAGAGCAATAAGCAAGCTGCTGTTTCTCCTCAACTTCATGCTCTATGGATTTCATTCAACCTGGACACCCTCCGCCAAGACTCGTGGGCGAGATCGGAAAGGTGAGGATTGTGGACCGGGTCATCCTGTAGTCTGGCCAGGATGCATTGAGGATTAAGATATAATTAAATAAGAGATACTTAAGATAATTAAGAGATAAGAGATAATTAAAAAATAAAAAATACCCCGGGTAAATCAGAGTTAAAGAGGTTGTTAAAAGGAACAGCTGTCTGGTTTTAAAAAATCTAATGTTTTCCTTTTTAAAGAAAGGTTGCTTACACATTTTTAGAGGGCTCCAGGCTAGGAGCGGGAGAACGGGTTTCTCAAATTATATTTTTGGAGCAGTAGCTCAACTATGCTAGATTTAAAACAATTTATTTAGGACTTAAGTCTAGACAGTTTTAAGTTAAAGATTATTATAGGTTCAAGGGTT